TGAAAAAATGTTTTCACTGAACTTTATGGCTATCGCAAAGGGGATAACGCAGCTTATAGTATCTAGAGTTAGACCGTTATGTATTGACCAATATAGGTAGTGTATAGTATCTGGGCCTAGACCATAATGTAGTGTCCATTGTACGTAGTGTAAAGTATCTGGGCCTAGACCTTAAAGGAGAACTATGGGGTCAGGGCTTTTCCACATAGTTTTCCTTAGGGTGACGGGAGGACTCAAACTAGCGTCCTCCCATCACCCTAAGCTCAGTATACTGCGAGCTACAGCTATACTGAGACGCGGCAGCTGAAGCGGATCAGTATTGTCCATTGTACGTAGTGTATAGTATCTGGGCCAAGACCTTAATGTATTGCCCATTGTACGTAGTGTATAGTATCTGGGCCTAGACCTTAATGTATTGACTAGGGATGCACCAATACAAGTTTTTCGGTATCGAGTACCGGTGCCTGGTGCCCTGATTATTAGGAAGTCAGGTGGCGGATCATTACCTGTCGCCCGGCTTCCTGATTGCCTGCAAAGTTCTAGTGAAAGAATACCGGCTTCACTTACTGAGGCTGCCTGGCTTCCTTACCAATCAGGAAGCCGGGCGGCGAGTCATGACCCGCCTCCCGGCTTCCTGATTGGTCAGGAAGCCAGGCTGCCTAGGAACAAGTGAAGCCGGCTTCCTAGCCATTTAGGGAGGCGGGTCTTGACGTGCCGCCTGGCTTCCTGATTGTCTATCGGAGGTAAGTATTGGTATCGGAGCATTTGGTTGTGTATGAGTACTCGCCTAAATACTCAGTATTGTCATTGATACTGATACTAGTATCGGTGCATCCCTTGTATTCACCATTGTATGTAGTGTATAGTATCTGGGCCCAGACCGTCATGTATTGACCATTGTACTTCGAGTATAATAACTAGGCTTATATTTTAGTTATTGGAGGAACCAGGGGCATAACTAGGAGTCATGGGTCCCTAATGCAAACTCTTGATGGGGCCCCCTGGCTAACTCTTTGTAGCAGCTGGCAGTGTCAACTGTAACAAAATGTGTCATTGATATTAACATAAATTATGTCTAAATAATGATCAGGCAGCAGAAGAGTTGTCACCATAGTCAGTAGACCTCTTGTGAGCAGAGCTTTGGATAAAACATTTATCTGTAACCGCAATAATAATAATTATAATAACTATAATTATATTTTAAACTATGAAAACACTATTAAAGATCCTGCACACAATTACTCCTAAACTCCTATAACCCTAATACAAACTTTCTTAAACTCTAGCTTCTCTAAACCTTTTTGGAGAACTACAAACCTTATCAGCAGAGGAGAAACTCTGAGATTTGTGACTGCAATAGGCATGCGGAGTTAGTTTCAGTCTGTAGCAGAAGTTCAGATTGCAATACATCCACGCTGTTGTGACAGCTCCGCAAATGCTTCTTACTGCCCAAAGGGGTCCTGTGTCTAGAGGAGAGGACTACGCTGGAAGATTCACAGTATATTTTTCTGTATCAGCCTCCTCAATGGGGCCACAACAGGCCCCAGAGTGGGCTGCTATGGCTATTGTTATGCCACTGGGAGGAACCTGGTGAGTCAGCCTCTGGATTTTTATGTCTTGTATATGCCAACAGCAAGATTGCCCAACATAATTCCCGGCTGTTCCTGTCCACTTTGGAGTCTCCTACTCCTTTGTGTGGTCTGACTCCTCTTGTTACATTCTCCATAAAATACAATTAATACAAATCTAGGAGGAATGGTAGGAGCTCCTCATAATGGAACTGGGAACGCAATACAGAGATCTCAATAGTAGAGTCCCCGTAGGATAGAAAAGACTGTCAGATGGATTAAATATGGAAAACGAAAAGGTCTAGGTGGCAGGCCCTTTAACTGGCATCAGCAAGGGTTAATGCAGATATTGAAGTTCACCGTAATGATATTATGAGGTGCGGTCTCTTCAACAAGAGGCTGCAATAGATCCATTGGCAGTACGCCCAGAATGGCTAGTGGAATGTGCAGAGGGCTTATCAGATGAAATTGTTATATTTATACTTTGTATCTCATGCTTATCTTAGTTTATCTTCATGTGTCTCATGACTGTATCCATACCCAAAACTTATTTTTTTTTCAGTTTTGGATAAAATGAGGAAAGGTTACTGCTGTGTTATAGATATTTCCTCCCACTTCCTGTCCTGAGGACAACTTTTTTAGCAGGCAGGAAGTGAAGGAACTAGGGATGCACGATGCTAGTATCGGTATCTGTGCCGAGTATGTGGACGAGTACTCGTATTCGCCCAAATGCTCCGATACCTAGCCCGATACTTGAGCTTCCGGTATCAGGAAGCCGGCTCCCTCGTCACTTGTGACAAGGGGGGAGCATAGAGACGGCTTTCCGGCCAATCAGGAAGCCGGGCAGCGAGTAATGACTCGCTGCCCGGCTTTCTAGTTGGTCGGGAAGCTGGCCAATCAGGAAGCCGGGCGGTGTGTAATGATGCGGTGCACGGCTTTCTGATTGGCCTGAAAGCTGGCTTCATGCTCTTTCGTCACCTAGTGGCGAGTCTTTACACACTTCCCGGCTATTTAGGAAGCCAGGTGCCGAGTCATTACACACCACCTGGCTTCCTTAATGGGACTTCCAGTATCGGTACTCAGTATCGGCGAGTACCAAAAAAATATCTGTACTCGATACTGAAAAACCGGTATTGGTGCATCCCTAGAAGGAACCTCTCCAGTGGAGCCTCTGATGTTGTTAAAACCGAGTTATGATCCTTCCTCAGCACCTAGGTGGCCTAGGTTTTTTTTCTGGTTGTTGACAACACATGACTGATATTGATTAAAGCTTATGATTTGATTGAAGTGATACTGGGTGTAAGGTGAACATATGTGATCAAGAGCAGTGTCACTTCGTTCCATTGGTAATTGGGGGGTATGCCCTTTGATCAATTGTTGGTGATGCTCGGGTGCCTCCACATTTTCTGAAACCAAACCAGGCTCCATAGCAATGAAGGTGTATTGTGAAGTAGAATCTTGCAAGGTCAATACACATTAGTAGTGCCACCTGGTGGGATGAGAGTAATCTGCCATGAAGGTCCTTGTTCAGGCACTTCCTGTTATAGGGTGATAACTGTCTTCCAGTTGTGCTGTTGGATTGTCATCTTGTCACGTGTGCTCCTAGTTTAGACTTAAAAAGGGGTTCTCCTGACACTCCTTGCGCCTGCACGGTTCATCGCTGCCACTGTTATAGGGCCGGTCTAGAACAATGACGTACAGCCATTGCTGGAGCGATTGCATGTAGACAGGAAGAGGCTGAAAGGGGCTTCAGGAGATCGGCACTGAGATACATAAAAGTTTAAAATCAAAAAGGACCTTTCACTAGATTTAGAACTCGGTCACTTTTCTTTCTTCTCTTGTCCCTCTTACGTCATTTCTTACATTTGTTTCCCTTTTTTTTGTATGCCTCCTCACCTAGGAAAGGGCGACATAAGACCTTCTCTGCCTCCAGCTTCCTAAGATACACATCACAGAAGGCTGCTGGGCCGTAGGTGCAGAATTCACGTTAGCTCTCTGAACACTAATGCAATGTGTAATGTGAAAGACGTGGCGTCAATTCTCATACATGGCAAAGATCTGGTGCCGTGTCTTTCACATTCCATAGCCATAGTGTTACAAGAGTTCAGCACCTATGGCCCTGCAGGCTTCTGGGGTGGCTGGGCCAGATATCTTCTCACACTATTCCAACATGTAATTTGAAAGCCATGGCACCAGATCTTGTGCATGCAACTGAGATCTGGCGCCATGTCTTTTATGTTACAAGTTTCCATAGTGTTATACTGGTTTAGCACCTACGGCACTGCAGGTTTCAAGGTAGGCTAGGGCCGCGATCTTCAGACACTATCGCGACATGTAATGTGAAAGAGATGTCACATATCTCAGAAGTCTACAGGGCCATAGGGGTTGAACTCGCCAGAGGTCTCCCGACACTATGTAAGCCATGGTGCCAGATTATGTGCACATGGAGATATGGCACCATGGCTTACATAGTATCAAAAGATCTCCCTCGAGTTCGGAACCTATGGCCCTGTAGCCTTCTGGGATTCATGACGTCTATCCAGGAGGCTGGGGTGGAGATTTCCCAACATTATGGCAATATGGAATGTGAAAGATACGCACATGCGCAGAGGGAGATCTGGTGCCATGTCATCGGGGGCCCAACTGCAAGAACCAGGAAGAGACAGCTGGATCCACATGAAAACAAAGATGGCGACATGGGATGTGCTGCAGGGGAGTAAAGCACAATGCAGGATTCGCCAGGCTTGCAAGTATGTTTTTCCTGGATACATGAGCATCAAAGGTAGCAGGCATATGGGAAATAATTGTCACAGGCATGGAGCATGCTCCACTTTAAGATGAAAACAGTGAAAAAAGGCAATTTATAATACGCAGTGCTATTAGCAAACTATCCAATTTGGGTTTATATCTTTTAATCCTGTGAACTGCTGTGCATCCATGTGTGCTCTTGCTGGTGACAGATCTGTTTTCATGGTTGTTCCCTTGTCTGGTGTGTATAACTCTTGGTGGAATGCTGCTCAGTAGCCTGTAGAGAAGAGAAATACTTTTGTTCTGGCTTCTGCCGTCACCCGGTGTTAACCAGAGCTACAGAAGACTTGCAACTGCAGAGAGACAAGTTCAGAGCTGTCTTCAGTGGGGAGAAGCACAAAGCCGCATTCCTGGGCTTTGTGGAAAAGGAAAACGGGCTATGCTGCTACATGTCACATACCAGACTTTAGCGGTAACCCCTCTCCATGTCTGGTTCGCTGACCGTACACAATGTCTGTATTACAATGCTAGCCGGTGCCTACTGCGGTATCGTCATGTATGAAAGTAATGGGATAACCGGTGATCACTTTAATAGTGTCTATGCTTCTCTCCCACCCCTCCTTACAGGGGGCACGAATACCATTATCTTGTGGGCTGATTTTGTGTTTCTGTTCTTTTAGGGCACCATGAGTGAAAGTGCAAAGGAGTGCCGGGTGGCGTACAGCCCCAAAGTCGGGGACATCATGAGGATGAAGACCGAAGTGGGGACCCCAGCTGACGAGCGGACTCACAGCCAGCAATGGTGAGCATGACTGTGAAAGGAAGGTTTTTTAGGTGTAGCTGACTCATGGAAATGCTGTCAAAGAGAACCAGTCATGTCTGATTATAGACAACAGGGCTGGACGAATCCAAGGAGCCAAGTATCCCTAAAAATTACACCTGGCGCCTAACTTTTGAGGTTTTCTCTAGTTTGTGTCAATGGAGCTCAAATAAATCCTGTTGGGTCCTGGACTGGACAAACTGACTCCTGAATTGCATAATGATTTGTCGACCTCTGTTATATAAGGATCTGAATATTCAGTCTTAAACTTATCTCCAGAAAAAAAAAAACCTACCCTTGCTGTGAGTCTAACCCTGCACTGCAAGCGTTAACTGTTCATTAATGTCTAGGGGACCAATGTAATGTGCACTTTTACTTACCTGATCCCCACTCAAGCTGGCTCCAGGAGCAGTGCCTGCAGCCCCTTACACTCTCAGCCCTGTGCACTCCAGTGGTCAGAGAGGCCCACTGACATCATCTAGTCTAATGAAGGGACCATAGCCTTGCATTATACATTGGACGCTAAGGGACAGTCCATGAGCCAGAGCGTAGGGGTGAGAGTTGAATGCCAACCACCAGGGGGAGTGGGGATCAGGTAGGTAAAAGTGCTTTACACAGCTCCCCTCGTCGTAGACAAGCAGTGATCTGGCAGCCCTGCGGCAAGGGTCATTTTTTACCCGGAGATAGACTTAAAGGAGAACTATGAGGTGAGTGCTTTTCACTCATCCTCATAGTTCTAGTCGACCTGTGACAATGAGACTGTCACAGGTCGGCTCAGTAGATCGGGAAGTGAGCGAACGCATACCGGCGTTCGCTCACTTCTCGATCCTGTCATGGCAGTGAGCCGTGACTGGATTCCCCCCTCCCCGCTCCTCCAGCGCTGACTGGCGGAACGGACGGGGGAGGTGGCGGGTACAGCTGGCTCTGCCTCTAGATAAGCAGAGCCAGCTGTCACTCACGCAGCTGGGCGGATCCAGACATAATTGTCGGGATCTGTTTCAGCTGTGGCGTCTCAGTATACCGCGAGCTGCAGCTCGCGGTATACTGAGCTGAGGGTGACGGGAGGACGCTAGTTTGTGTCCTCCCGTTACCCTAAGGAGAACTATGGGGAAAAGCCCTGACCCTATAGTTCTCCTTTTTAAAGTGTATGTAAACCTAAGAACAACAATGTAATACAGTGGTACCTCGGTTCACAAACTTAATTCGTTCAACGATTCTGGTCGCGAACCGAATCAAACTGATCAGACTGCGATCTCGACTAGAGGAAGCCACGCCCATGTGTCAGAGCAGGGAAGATGGCTGCGGTCGTGTTTGTCACCCGATGCAGAGTTCGCTATCAGAAGCAAAATTTTGCCGAACATCCTGTTCGCGAACCGAGGTACCACTGTAAATTGCTTACCAATCCTTAGATGTGACGGCTGCATTAGTTGTCTTTTTTAAGACTTTTTTTCCATTATTTTAATCTGGTGATCCGGCCAGTAATACACTTCCTGTCCTAGGATGGCTACACTTAGTCCTTCACTGTATCTATGAAGTAAGACCCCATTCACACCAGGTCGGTTGCGGATCATGCATTTACTGTGTTGATCTCGCAAGGGAAGTTTTGGGCGTTTTTAATTGCGTTTCAGCGCTGAAACACAATTTAAAACGCTCAAAACCGCACTGATCAGCGGTTCCATTGAAACCTGTATGGAAATCGCACTGATCAGCGTGGCAAAAATAGTGCAGGGAACAGTTCGGACGGGGGCGGTTCAGATCGCGCGGACCCGTGCGGTCGCATGAACGGTCCCCATAGCAATGTATGGGATCGTTCGTGTCGTCGGATCCGTGTGGCCGAACCGCCCCTGTACAGTGGAAGAGCAGGACATTGTGACGTTCATTGGCACCTCCTCTATTCTAAGAATGTCTTGCAGTCAATCAAGAGAATGCAAGACATTTTCTGAATGGAGGAGGTGCTGAGCAAGGGACCAGCTATCATCTCTGTACTCCAACCAGATGTATAAGTCTCAGCGCCAGACATTCGTCACTTACTGTACTGTATGGGCTGAATGAAAGCCAGATATTCCCCAGACGCAGCTTCTTTTTTTCTTTTGCAGAGAATGCAGCAAGAGAAGTGTAATTTTTCCTTCTGCCATGTAGGGAAGGGGAAACCTCATTGTGCAGGGACAGAGCTGAGAACTGAGGGGTCTTGCAGATAGAGCCCATCTGATGTATCTAAAGGCAACACATTTTTCTATTCCTCCTAATTGCGCTTTCTGTGTATTAATTCTCTCTAGTTGGAACTCATACAGGGCTGCAGGCCACCCCTGCCCCTTATGTGAAAGCTTTGTGCCACTCTTAAAGCACCAGTGCTGTCATATGAGAGGGGGAGTGTGTCGCATGCTCCTCCATACTCACAAGTAACGGGTGCCATCTTTGCTCCTGGTGACTGATTGATTGGATTAGCATTGGAGCAAAGAAAGCTTTCACATAGGGACACCGACCACCCCTATATGAAAGCTCTGTGCCAATCTCAAAGCACCAGTGCTGTCATATACCATATTAGAGTAGGGGGAGTGGATTGCATGCGCCTTCATAATCACCAGTACTGGGGGTCTTCTTTGATCCTGGTGGATGATTGGATTATCAGGGGACCAAAGACGGCTTTCATATGGGGCACCCCATCCCTATGTAAAAGATCCGGGCCAATCTTAAAGCACCAGCCCTGTATGGGGGAGAGTGCGGGGGAATGTATCACATACTGCTCCATACTCACAAGTACCGGGTGTCTTCTTTGCTCCTGGTGGACAAACCGATCAGTGGGGAAGCAAAGAAAAGGAGATATGTGCTGCAGGGGTCATACATGCGGGTCTGAACTCAGAACACAAAGTGAAGATTTGTTATATTACCTTAATTGTGCCCAAGCAGCACCCTTTGTCTTGAATTTCTCCTAAAAAAAAAAAAAAAAATAGCAGTGTAGTTCCTGTGCCCAGACACCTCTGTTTTGTAACCTCATAGCTCTATATCTGCAACGTGAGCTCTAAAGCATAGTTGCCTCCGATTGATAGTCTCAAAGCCCATCCGCAGCTCATCAACCTGTTGACTGTATTTCATTGAAGTTATAACTGTACATGGTTGTAACTGGTAAGTGTTTTTCTTTGACCTTAGCTCTGCCGGCTCCAATTCTCGCTGCGTGGACCTGGAACCCAAGAGATTAAAAGAGAAGCGGGGGGCTGCAGTGACCAAGAGTCTCCAGCAAGTGGACTTTTGGTGTAAGTTAAGTTCGTCGCTTACTGGAACTCCTTTCTTAGCTATAACATACTGTGGGAGAAGGTTGGCCATACACAGGTTCTGTGTTTAAAGCTGGACTCCGGGATATTGTCTAAATACAAGAGTCATGTGTATTCTTCTTTAATCTTGGTGAGCTTTGTGCATTTCTTCCAGATCTGTGCAGTAATCCAGTGTGAGACTTGGAGCTTCCTGCAATAAAGACCAGTCACTGCTGCTCTCTCTACTTGTGCAGGGTGACTGGTCTTGTCTCTGCCCCCTCCTGTAATAAAGACCGCTCAGTGCTGCTTAGTCAGGAACTAGCTGATGTCACACCTGGAATGAGGAGAGACGAGCAGTGCAAGGTCACATTGGGAATGAGCAGAGGAAAACCATGGTCAGGAACTAGCCTAGATGACACCAGGAATGATTAGAGACAAGCCCTGGTCAGGAATTGGGTGAAGTCACATGGCGAATGAGCAGAGACAAGCTGTGGTCAGGAACTAGATGAGGTCACTCCGGGTATGAGCAGAGACAAGTCGTGGTCAGGAACCAACTAAGGTCACACCAGGAATGAGTAGAGACAAGCCGTGGTCAGGAACTAGATGAGGTCACACCGCGAATGAGCACAGTTCAAGGGCAGGCCGGGTCAGCAATTGGGAAGCACCTTAGGAACAGGTTCAGGATTCAAGTCTTGGGGTAACAGCTTGTTTGTGATCCAGCATGCCTACGTATCTAGGCAATGTGCATCTGTGGATTAGAATGCACATGCAAATTAGCTTGTGCATTCAAATGAGTAATCTTGCACAAACTACATGCACAAGTGACTAGCTGGAAATGACTATTGTCCTGTGCTTTGGTGCACGTTGTATTTTGATACCATCCTGACACAGTGAAGATTCAAAGCACAATGCCATTCAGAAGTATGTATCATGTCCGAATGCACATTGATGTGTTTCAGGCCCCAGCACTATACTATTCTCTGATATTGGTTGCATTGCTTACGCTGGAGGTGCAGCAAGTGGACAGTCTTTCAACTTGTGCTTCATGACATGCAAGTGTTGTGGTTATTTCCCTTCAGACACGACACATACACTTCTGAATGGCATTGTGCTTAGAGTCCCCAGAAACCTTTTGCTTGAACCAGCTGCTGATGGATCCTGTGCATATTAACACCTAGGGGGTTATTCACGTAGGAGCCGAAGGATCCAGCCGTAGCTTCGGCTGATACTTCGGCCCTCTTCGGCCGCTGGAGCCCTTCATTTCAGTTAAACCGAAGGGCTGCTGTACGGGCTATTCACTATAGCCCGTGCAGCAGCTGAAGGGGTAAAGTTTTTAAACTTTACTATTTATTTACATTTTCCCCCTTAAAATTCAAACTTTTTTTAACCTTTTTTTTTAAACTTTTTTTTGTATTCTTCTCATTGATTTTTCTATTCTGCTCTGTACCATCTATGTGCACTTGCCTCCTATAAGCCCCTATAGGCTCCTAGATTATGCGCTCCCTCTCCCAGTCTGGTCGCTGCTGTGCAGAGGGTTCCAGGAGGCTGATATTCAGACAGCCACTTATGCTAGTTCTAATGTTCTTTTATATTGAATACATAACTGGATTAAATGGTGTTTTTGATATCTGCCTCAAGTTCAGCTTTAGGGCCCATTCACACCATTGTGCTTCAATTACTGCAACGCTATGGTGTGTATGAGCCCTTAAATTTGTATTGGAAATGTAAGCCGCATGCAGTAATGATTTCAATGATTATTATTTGTTTTACCCCCTTCAGTCTGCGAGTCCTGCCAGGAGTACTTTGTAGATGAGTGTCCCAGCCACGGCCCCCCTATCTTGGTGCCAGATATGCAAGTCACTATGGGAACCCCCGATCGGGCAGCACTGACGGCACCGCGTGGGATTGAGGTGGTAAAGGACTCCAGTGGAGAGAGCGAAGTGCGTTGCATCAACGAGGTCATCCCCAAAGGACACGTCTTCGGACCATACGAAGGACAGGTCTCTTTGCAGGACAAATCATCGGGCTTCTTCTCCTGGCTGGTATGTGCTTGTTCAAAGTGCACCTGTCATTAAAACTAATTTTAAAGAACTCCACAGATTGAAAAAACACGTACCCTTACAGTGGGGCTTGTTTTGGCTATGGGGCTCAAATAAAGCAGGTACACTCGCCTGATCCTGGGCACCACCGTGCTGCTGAACCGGTCCCAACAGACTCTTCTGCCATAGCCTCTAGTGGTCTAAGGACCGCTAACGTCATCACATCAAATCGTACGATTTTCGGCTGGTTTTTAGCATGATCGAGAGATAACTGCCGAACGGGCCGGTGTGCGCACACACACACACTGCCCGTTCAGCATTGCAGTCATCGAAAGCCTGCCCCAGCAAGTACGATCTGCCTGTCCAAGATAGGCAGATCGTACGTTTTTTAAATTACTTTACAACCCTCGCAAGACAAAAGTCTTGCGAGGGTTGTAAAGTGTATGGGCACCTTTAAAGGAGAACTATGGGGTTAAGGCTTTTCCTCATAGTTCTCCTTAGGGTAACAGGAGGACACAAACTAGCATCCTCCCGTCACCCTAGGCTCAGTATACCGCGAGCTGTTGCTCGCGGTATACTGAGGCGCCGCAGCTGAAGCGGATCCTGACAATTATGTCGGGATCCGCCCAGCTGCGTGACTGACAGTTGGCTCTGCCTATCTAGAGGCAGAGCCAGCTGTACCCTCCCCCGTCCGTTCCGCAAGTCAGTGCTGGAGGATCGGAGCGGGGAAGGAGGAATACAGCCCCTCCCCTGTCACGGCAGAGAGCCGTGACAGGATCGAGAGGTGAGCGAACGCCGGTATGTGTTCGCTCACTTCCCGATCTACTGAGCCGACCTGTGACAGTCTCATTGTCACAGGTCGGCTAGAACTATGAGGTGAGTGAAAAGCACTCACCTCATAGTTCTCCTTTTAAGATGTGTTTTATTTGCTGGCCATACGCTATGCAATCTCATTGTACAATCTGTGTACGCTCTCCTTTATATTTACCAAAGCTATGTAATATATAGCCAAACCTAAACAGTTTATCGAAGCAAGCGAAATATCAGTTGGGTTGGGTGAGCTTTTTATTTGGTGCCCCGTCTGCTTTATATATAGAATACAAATCACTGGCAGCCTCTAGCCTTGTTCCTGCGATCCTGACCTTGAACAGGCATTAGGTAAGTGAAGTCAAAATGCCCGATCTGCATTCTTGTCAGGTCACTCTTCAGGTTAGTGATAACCCTACTGAACACATTTGTTATGCATTAGAAGACTGATAGTGAGTCAGGTCTTGTCGTCCAATAAGTACTATCCTTGTCGCACTCCTTACCGATATGTCCCTTGTAGCAGGGGGTGCTCGCAGTGACTGCGGATGGCGCCGCGAATGTCAGCAGAATTGTAGAAATGTCACCAGCACACCAATCCTTTTAAGATAGCAAAAGCTTCATTTATTGAAGTTTTTTGTCATATGACCAAACAAGCGCTTTCGGGACTGCGCTTGTTTGGTCTTGTCGTCCAACACCAGTACCTGACCTCACAATTGCTCTTTTGGCTGAAAGGCACAAATTCCCTCAGGCACACACCAAAATCTTGTGGAAAGTCTTCCTGGAAGAGCAGAGGCTGTTATAGCCACAAAGAGGGGAGGCCAACTCCATATTCATGCCCATGATTTTTGAATGGTGTCCACCAAGCTCAAATCGGGTAATGGCCAGGTGTGCATACTAATGCCCATGGTTGAAAAATAGGATGCCCTACAAGCTCATATGGGGTGAGGGTCGGGTGTCCACTAACTCTGGCCATATATCATAAGATCTGTTAAACCGACGGAAAATGTAAAAAGGGGAATGAAACTTAAAGCTCCTGCTTGTTTATTTTTCTCCTCGCAGGTAGTGGATAATAACAACCGGTATAAATCCATCGATGGAACTGACGAAGCCACCTCCAACTGGATGAGGTGAGGACCTGAAAAGCGGAGCAAGCTACAGCAGTCTGATTGTATATTTTGTAACTACTTATTGCTGATATAAAAGCAATCATCTGATTGGTTGCAGCGATTTGGTTTCACAAAGATGGACCTTCGCATTGCCAGCCGATAAAACCTGACCGGTGTGAAAGTTCCCAGGTTCTTTTTTTAGAATTTGAGTACTTGCCAGATAATAGCAGACTTTGCCAATTTAGCATTTGTCCTTGCACTAATTAGGAATATGAGACACAGCTATTGATCAATTTATAATCTGCAAAAAGGGGACTGAACATGCGTCGGTTTACTACAAACGCACAAAAGGACAGTGGACTGCAGAGTTTGTCAGTGGCTGGCACACCTCTTAGGCAGTGCTATAGAATATTTATGTTTCCTTTGCAGCATCATACAGAGAGTAAGGAAGTGTTCCTATCCATCGCTAAGTGAGCTTTACTGTGCAATGTCCCTTCCATAGTCCTATGTTCTCTCTCTACTTTCTGTCCCTTCTTTTCTTTCTTAACCTCTTGCCGTCCGCCCGTAGTAGAAAAACGGACGGACGGCACTGCTGCATCTGCGGGCACGCACGACATTCTCCTTGTTCTTTCTCTCCTCTCTCTCCCTCTTTTTCCTTCATTCTTCCATTCTCTTTCCTTCATTCTTCCATTCTCTTGCCTTCCTTCACTTTCCTTCCTTCCTTCTCTCTCTCTCTCCATATATCTCTCTCTCTCCTCTGCCATTTATCTCTCTTTCTTTTCATCTCTCTCTCCCTCTTTTTCCTTCATTCTTTCATTCTCTGTCCTTCCTTCTCTTCTCCCCCTTATCTGTCTCTCTCTCGTCTCCCCATATCTCTTGTCTCTTTCTCTTCATCTTCCTTTCTAATACCTTCCCTCTCTTCTTTCTCTATTCCTCTCTCTCTTTTTTCTTCATTCTTCCTTTCTCTTTCCTCCCCTCCTTTCTCCTATCTCTACTTCTATCTCTCTATCTATCTCTCTCTCCTTTTCTCTTTGTCTGTCTCTCACCTCTTTCTTCCTACCTTGTGAGAAGCTCACAGTGTGCAGTGAAATCAGAGTAAGCAATATCAGTCTTCTCTCTCTCTCTCCATCTTCTCACCTCTCTCTCTCTCTCTCTCCATCTTCTCTCCTCTCTTTCTTTCCTGTCTTTCTCTCCTCTCTTTCTTTCCTGTCTTTCTCTTCATTTCTCTCCTCTCTCTCCCCCTAGCTTTTTCCTTCATTCTACATTTCTGTTTCCTTCGCTCTCTCTTCTATATGTTTCTCTCTCTCTCTTTCTCTTTTTTTCTGTCTCTCAACTCTTTCTTCCTACCTTGTGAGAAGCTCACAGTGTGCTGTGAAATCAGAGGATGCAAGACTGAAGGGAAGGCCGGAGTTCAGCATTAAACGTTAATTAATGTGTACATTTTTGAGTTGCAGTGATACCCTTTGAAATCTTGTAGGAATATTTTAGTAAAATCTACTGCTAGAATGTACTACTACTAAGTTGTAGCTATATATGCCAAGTTACTTTATAACTGTGCAGATCACCATACAAGAGTAAGAAGAGAGATATGTTTCCTGAACTGTAAAGAGCCTTCTGACTACTCTCCACATCTCTTGCACTCCCTTCCCCCTATTGTACGGTTGCTGAATTTAGACGAAATTTCCAGAGGTGAGCAGAAGATAGAACAAAGTAAAGAAACCATTATTGATATCTAAGCCTTGCTGTGCCCTCCTCTAACCCCGCTGCCCTAGTCCCTGGCAATCAGGTGCCTTATGGTAAAACGACTTGCGTGCCAACTGCTACTGTGTTGCCATAAATCTTCCTATTTCCATTTCAGTAGTGTTCAATATTTAATGCTCTCCTGTTTCTCAGGTACGTGGTGATATCACGAGAGGAAAGCGAGCAAAACCTGATGGCGTTCCAGCACAGCGAGAAGATCTACTTCCGAGCGTGTCGGGACATCCAGCCCGGAGAGAAGCTGAGAGTCTGGTACAGTGATGAATACATGAAGAGACTCCACAGCATGTCTCAGGAGACAATCATCCGCAACCTCACTAGAGGTAATCACACGAAGCTCCTCCTTTTCTGCTTCCGCTCGTTTCTTTTTTTCCTGATACGCTGATGCATTTTTATATCTTAAACTGAACCTGTCATGTCCTTCCCGCAATGCATGTGGTGCAAGCTTCAAACCGGTTCCTGTGCACATGGATGGGATGCTGGATCCCAGGTTCTTTGCAGTGCCCGGGACTTCTAGCCAAGGCAGCATTAAAGAAGAACTCTGGGTAAAAATGTTATTAACCCTTGCAGAGGGGCTACCCCTGCACTGTAAGGGTTAAGTGCTCGTCTTTGCCTAGGGTCAATAATAACAAATATATATATATATATACTCGCCCGATCCTGCGAGCTGTGTGGCTGTCGCAGCGTTCCTTCCTGCCTGTCTCCTCTTCCGCTGTAGTGATGGTGTGTCTCTTAGCCTCCTCACATCCTATACACTGTGTATAGAACGTGATGACTCACAGGACCTTAAAATGCTGCAGCGGAGGGGGAGAGAGACTCCAGGGACGGTCTAAGAGCAAGCCAGCTCAGAAGACTGAGTATAACTTTTTTTTATTTTTGACCCTAGTCAAAAATTAGCACTTAATCCTTGCAGTACAGGGGGTACTTTCAGTTCCATTGAAAGCTGTATGGAACAGTCCCCATATAGCAATGTATGGGATCGTTCATGCCAGCGGATCCGCGTGGCCACATGTGAACGGGGCCTAAATGACTGCTAAAAGGAAATTGTCATGTACTGTCGTGTACACCCATTGTCATAATGTTTAACCAAACGACACAATTTCACAAATGTACTGGTCCCTTGTGTCCATTTTTCACGCTCATATGTTCAATTTAGTAGGCGTTCCCTCTATTGACTTTTTATGGGTCAGGCAGTGCAGTCAGTATTCTTGCTGTACTCAGACTGTGTATAGCCTTTTACTACTCAACAAATTCAGCCTGCGTTGTATGACACTGCTGGCAAATGAATCCTCGTCCTGTCCCGATAGACGTGTATGTTATTTTGTGTTCTGTTCAACTCGGCTTTCTATATCAGACATTCTCTATCATTCTAGTGCACGGTCATGTGAATAATACGATATGCACTAAAATGTGACCAGCTCAATGGTAATAATTGTATCGGTGTGCAATGTCTCCTTTTTCCTCCTTGAATAGTTTTCCTTGTTTAGTGACATTCAACTGGACTTGTTCTGCAACATTAAATACATTTTGTAGCTTCTCCAAGTCTCTTGTCTCTCAGCTGTAACGAGTGCCAGGAACATATCCAGCATTCATAGCCACACGGGTAGCACAGATATCTTCAACCAAGCACCATGGAATGTGATAAAGTGACATAGGGCTGCAACAACTAATCGACATAATCGATTATAATCGATTATTGAAAAAGTTGTCAACTTTTTCAATCATCGATTAATCGGCTTCCGATTGGTTGGCCTTGTTCACGGCTCCACACATGCTGCGCATCACACCTCCTCCCCACCTCACGCTCGCCGCTGCCAGATCTGCCCGCATCCACGCTCCACACGCCGCACCTCCTCCCCGCCTCACGCTCACCGCCCGGCCAAATCCACGATCGGCACAGGGACGCGGGGAGAAGAAGTAAGGAGGAGCAGGTGTGGGGGGATGACAGCCACCGATAGACAGGCCCGATCTCAGAAACAAGTTGCTGGAAGACTGCTCAGGTAAGCCGGCACTTTCCCACACATGCTGCTCTATAATGTATTGCTGGGATTTGTATTCCTCTATAGCTGATGGTACATTGTGCTGTATATTATACATAGGAATACAAATCCCAGCAATACATTGTACACTGTGTGTATAATGTATTGCTGAGATTTGTTGTATTCCTATATAGCTGGTGGTATTCTGCATTGCGCTGTATAGAGGACTACAAATCAAGGAATAATACATTATATAGCGCAATGCGGAATACCACCAGCTATAGAGGAGTACAACAAATCCCAGCAATAGTACATTATACAGTGGTGCAATGCCGAATACCACTCGCTAGAGAGGACTACAACACCTAGCAAAACTACATTATACAACGCAATGCAGAATACCACCAGCTATAGAGGACTACAAAACCCAGCAATAGTACATTATAAAGCGCAATGCAGAATACCGCCAGCTATAATGTATTATTGCTGGGATTTGTTGTATTCCTCTATAGCTGGTGGTATTCTGCATTGTGCTGTATAATGTACTATTGCTGGGTTTTGTAGTCCTCTATAGCCAAAGCCATTCTGCATTCATTGCTGTATAATTTTACACTTTTCATTTCACTATATTGCACACCACACTTTTTTTTTCCTTTTTACTTCCACCTCTCCAAGCTTGCTCCTGTGATGGACTGCAATCTCAATACAAACTAGTAGTCCCATCACTGGAGCCATTTTTAAAAATGTATTTTATTTTTTAATTTTTTTATCCGATTAACCGATTAATCGAACTTAATAATCGGCTAACTAATCGATTTTGAAAATAATCGTTAGCTGCAGCTCTAAAGTGACATTAAGGTCACCGTTTCCCCCCGCCATGCTGCTTTAAGGACTTCCCTTAAATTATGCCTCTTGATCCGCTCATCTTCTTCCTTCCACTTGTATTCAGCCAGCGCTGCTGCCGGTCTCTGATCCAGCACTGACTGCTTTGGCTTCCTGTCCCACGGTGTCTGTCCGCACGCACGCCGCCAGCTGCCTGCATTGACTCCCCTTTTCTCCCGTCTGAAGATCTCTACTGCGCATTCCCTCGCCCCATGATCCTTCACGACCGATGGAGAATCTTCAGATCTTCAGATGGGAGCAAGCGGCGGAGGCAGAGGTAAGTAATTACCTTTTTTAGGGATGCACCGATATATCGGCCGCCGAAACATGTCGGCCGAAAATAGCACTTTTGGCATAATGCCGAATGTGCCATTTTCCGGCCGATACAGCGGTGCATCCGTTCTTTCTCTCCTCCCCGCTGGGCGCTGCTCTGTGTCCCAGCGGGGAGGAGAGAAACTGTCACAGGCGGCCGAGTGCTGCGGGAGGAGAGCGATGTGAGCGGCCGGCGTCCCTTCTCCCCGCACTGCTCAGCCTCCTGTCACAGTCCGGCAGAGTGGTGTGTGGGCGGAGACAGGCCGCGCTGTCACAGGAGGCTGGGCTCTGCTCCCGCAGCGCTTGCTCAGCCTCCTGTGACAGCGTGTCAGAGAGGAGAGCGGGTACAAGCAGTCGGGGATTAGTGATCGCTGAGTGTTTGTAGATGATTGAGGACAGAGTATGGTTACTATATCCTCAATTATGAATGAATAGGAAGTGATCTACATCACTTCCTGTTCATTATAATTAAAAAACATTTTCGGTTTGGGCCTGAAATTTTTTTTTATTTCGGTTTCGTTTGGGTTTTGAAATTTCCATTTCGGTGCACCTCTAATTAAAACTCAGGGGTGTAACTAGGAATTAGGGTGCCCCGTAGCAAAACATTTGATAGGTCCCCCTTTCCTATCTAACTCTTTCTGTAGCAGCTTGCAGTGTCAGCTGTGACCAATACCTGCCATTGATCTTCATGTACAGTATGGATCAACCAAGAACAGGCAGTAGGAAGCTGTTAACATAGTCCGTACACAACAAGGGCAAGTTACCTTGTAGTATTATTAAAAACAGTAATGGTCATTTAATTTATTTATGCTCTATAACTGTAATACAAACTTCTTCAAACTCCTTCTTTTTTTAAAACTTTTTTTCAGGACTACAAACCTCAGCTCTCCTTTAAAGTGACACTAAACTCAGGAGTTAAATCTTAAAAATGCATTCAAGTACCTTAATGATTAACAAAAATTTAGGTTATTGCTATAGATTTTCATATCATCTCTGAGTTGGTGCTGACACTGTCCTTTCTTCTGGAGGGGGGCCACTTTTGTTCCCCATGGCTCCTGTGTGTGTTGTAAAGTAGCCGCGCCTCCAAGCTCACTCCCGTGATATATTATAACTTCAATACTCTGGGAACTCTGATGTTATGGGGGACTCTGATGTAAGGACGGATTCTGGGGACTCTGATGTAAGGGAAAGCTCTGGGAACTCTGCTGCTATGTGAGACTCTGATGTGAGGAGGGATTCTGGGGACTCTGATGTAAGGGAAAGCTCTGGGAACTCTGATGTGATGGGGGACTCTGATGTTAGGAGGGATTCTGGGGACTGATGTAAGGGAGAGCTCTGGGAACTCTGATGTAATGGGGGACTCTGATGTAAGGAGGGATTCTGGGGACTCTGATGTAAGGGAAAGCTCTGGGAACTCTGATGTGATGGGGGACTCTGATGTAAGGAGGGATTCTGGGGACTCTGATGTGATGGGGGACTCTGATGTAAGGAGGGATTCTGGGGACTCTGATGTAAGGGGAGACTTTGATGCAAGTTTCACTTTCATTTTTGAATTGAAAGTTATCTCAAATTTGGGTGTCGGTTTTTGGGAAGGGGCTTAATTTCAGTTCTTGCCATAGGCACTATTTTCTGTAGATTTGCCTCTGTAGAGAACACCTACAAGAATCACGTTGGCATTAAGGAGACTCAAGTGAGAGCCCTTAGATTTGGAACTGCAAGCAACTGTCCAGTCCAGAAACGACCACCTCATTATACTTGGTCCAATAGGTCCGAGTTGGTGACCCCCGACAAACTCCAGTAAGACTCGATCCCAGATATGATTTCCACAAAATCCAATCCATTTTCCCCATGTAAACCAAAGTTAGTTGAATTGTCTCTCATAGCTTGTGTAGGTTCCTCCATCAGGTGTATGTGAGACCAATCCCTAACCATCGGAGTTTTAGCTGAATTCCAGTATCCCAGTATGAGCGCTTTTGCGGCAGTCAAGAGGTGTGAAAGTATTGATCTTCTGGGGAGATCACATCCATGAAAGAGGTAGCTTCAAAACTCGAATGGAAGAGAGATATTTGTAATTTTAAAGATGTAGCTGGAGATACAAATCCAAAAATTTATCAAAGGCCATTACCACCAAAAATGTAAAAAGGTGCCCAGAGAGCTACATCACCTCCAAAACATAGGAAAATGAGACCAATTCAAAGCACTCAATTTGACAGGCTTGTAATACCGCCTGTGGTCATGTATTCTGATGGTGGCACACCCACTGCTGTCCGAATACAACAGCATGCATGGGGGAGATTCAAGTTTTCTCTCGTTAAGCCCTCAGTCCTAAACACAAGAAAACGTCCAGTGCATGGCCAAGTTTAGCCTCCTTAATGGGACCCCTCCTGTCCCAGGCCCCATAGCAGCCACGTGGGCAGGCATTTTTTAATCCGCTGTTGGAACGGAAGAAGTGGCTTGGATGAGCTACAAAACATCTCCAATGTTACAGAACAAGTCCAGCTGAATGTGACAAACTAGTTATGCCATGACCTGGATAAATGAGAACCTTCAAAGACCATTTTGTTTTTATCTTATGTTTTCTGCACACATACAAACAGGGAATACGTGCCATGCTAAATTTGTGCAACGGACAGTCATGACAGACTCCTTTTAAATGAGTCATTTCCATGTTTTACACCTGTCAGAGCTCTGCCTTCTCCTTTCGCTGTTCCTCTTACTGTTTTATGCACCATGTGTACCTAGTGCTTTGATTTGTTTCCTACTGACCTATGCATTTATAGGATTCATTTGTTGTTGCTGTATATTAGAATTCTGGTTTTAGGTTAGTGAGTGGGGGTCCCCCCACCTGGGGAAATCTATCGTTGTAAAACAAAATTAAACAGCTTAAAGTGTGTGTCAAGTCTAGTTTTGGATGGAGTGGAGAAGGATTAGAACTCCTGTTGGGTTTTTACTGTGACCCGGGACTGAGTTCACAGACTTTACTACTCATTTGTAAAGTGATCTATTGTGGACCACTTTTCAGAGGTGGTTGAGGCAGGCATTCAGAAGGCGATACTGTGACCACCTTAATGTCCTGTTTTTTTTCTGTCCCAAGTATTGCAATACTTCCCGCAAATGTGTGCCAAACACTTAGTACATGGTTGTGTGTGTGTGTGTGTGTGTGTGTGTGTGTGTAGGGGGGGCCCATTGATTTCAGTGGGCAGGTTTGGCAAATGGTACCACTTGCCAAATGTGCCATGCCGGACTTCAATTGCCACCCTGCAAAGCAAAACATTCCAGCTGCAACAATGTGTATGAACTAGGGATGCACCGATACCAATACTAGTACCGGTATCGGTGCTTGGTATCGTATCGGTGAGTGGCAAAAGATAAATACTTGTACTCGATACAGAAAAAACGGTGTGGGTGCAGTCTTAGTATGAACCCCTCTGACTGCCATGTTAATGTGTAGGTAGGCAGTCAGGGGCAGTAAGGTAGCAGGTTACCTACCGCCTGTTTCTACAGCCTCTTTGCCGCCCATGTGAACTCAGCATCATTTTTTTTTCTGTTTTCCTGCTGAAATAGGGATGTTCCAGAATAGAGTCCAGAAAGGATTTTAAACAAATCTTGCTAGAATGGAATAAAACAGGTTGAGTGTTTCAGGGGGTTTAGGTGCATTTCAGTGCAGATTTGAAAGCTATTCCTATACAATTATTCAGCATGCAGGGACATTTCTGAAACCTTTCAGAACATATTATTTCAAAAGGCACCATTTACCTGAGAAAAGGAGCTCAGCCTTTCACTAATGTTTTTCTCTTTTGTAACCACAGTGGTGGTAAACTATTGTGTGCAAGATGGACATAGACTGGTGTTGCTGCTGAGGAAGGAATGCCTCTGTATTGCTAGATAATTACTGAAAAAGGTTTGAGCACGCCAAGTAAAGCATTTACATAAATACGAAGGAAATAAGCATAAGGGTGCTAAAGCTAAACACAGAGATTTCCATGAAAGCCTCAAATTAACCAGACTAATAACAATAGTAAGCTGGCATACCACACGGAAATGCAGTCCAGCAGCTGTATTTTAGGTCAGTAGGGGTATACACATATATATATATATTTCTGTCAGATAATGCACCACTTTGCGCAGAAAATTGTTGCAGTGACAAATGTTTCGGCATTCTCATGTTTATTTTTTTGTTTGGTATGACACAAAAAAGTGGAGAGAAAAAAACCCTAATCCGACACATTCCACGCAAAACTACAAAAATGGACTGGACAAAATGATTGGCACCCTCAATTCATATTTGGAAAAAATAACTGAAATCAATCGCTTCCTGTAACCATGAATGAGTTTTTTACACCGCTCTACAGAAATTTTGGACTCTTCTTTCACCAACTGCTCCAGGTCTCTCAGATTGGAAGGTTCCTTTTCCCAGCTGCAGTTTTGAGATCTCTCCACAGGTGCTCTATGGGTTTTAGATCTGGATTCATTGCTGGTCAGTCCAGTACTCTCCAGAGCTTTGTCTGAAACCATTCCTGGGTGCTTTTCGACATGTGCTTTGGGCCATTGTCCTTCTGTAAGACCCATGACCTCTGACGGAGACCCAACTTTATGACACTGGGCCCTTCATTGCACCCCAGAATTCTTTGGTCTTCAGATTTCATCATGCCATGCACACAGTCAATCTAGTGCCTGAAGCAGCAACGCAACCCAAAAACATCAGTGACCCCCCACCATGTTTGACTGTAGGGACTTTATTTTTTTTTTAAAGGTCCCATTTCTTTTTCTGGAAACAGAAGAATGATGGGCTGCACCAAAAAGCTGTCATTTTGTTTCGCCAAAAAGCTGTTAATTTTGTGTCAAACCAATACAAACAAAAGAAATAAACACGAGAATGCTGAAACATTTGTAATTGCAACAATTTTCTGCGCGATGTGGTGCATTATCTGACAGAAATGCAGGGGTGCCAATATTTTGGCCATGACTGCAAATAATGCTGTCAATGGAAACAGCTAGGCGGCAGCTAGTAGACATAAGAAATACAACATAAACAACAGATACTAATTACAAATGGAAGACTCCTAGTACAGATGGAGGTGGAAACAGTGACAATGTTTCAGAGTAAATACCCCTTGATCAAGTCAAGTTTTTGATAAAGGGGTATTCACCCAAGTCAAGAACTTGACTTGATAAAGGGGTATTTACTCTGAAACATTGTCACTGTTTCCACCTCCATCTGTACCGAGTTTCCTCTATTTGTGATTAGTATCTGTTTTTATGCTGTATTTATTAGCTGCTTCGATTGACTGCAGCAGGAAAGCAAGAAAAATCCGAGAGAGGTTCTAACTTCTCACCACATCTAAAATAATAAAAAGGACCCTGAACTTTATGATTTGTTCCTCATGCTTTGACTCAGGAACATGTGCCATACTGGTAACACAGCTGATTTTCCCTTCTAGGAGAAAGAGGTTTGTTGAGGGAAAACAATGACAAACTCTTGGAAAACCAAGAAGACATGAAAGGTCCACTCACTGCCCTTAAACAAGGGAAGAGCCTCTACAAGCGCAGCTGTGAGGAGGGGGACTTAAACTCTCATGCCAAGAAGAAAAAAATAGACCTCATCTTCAAGGATGTACTAGAGGCTTCTCTGGAGTCTGCCAAAATGGAGGAGCATTCTCCGATGACAAGCAGCCCGAAGCTGGGGAAAAAAGTTCCCAAATATCAATTAGAGGACATTGAGGACAGGTGCAAAGCCAATCAAAAGTGTTCCCCCGCCCATAACCAAACCAGAACCTTGATGGAGTGGAAGGTGCCTCAGTGTTCCAACCGAATCTTAGACAGGGAGATCAGCCAACAGGAGGAAGAAGTAGAAGATCACTCCTCCATAAAATTAGAGAGCCCTGATGAATTCTCTGCCCTCGGAGACACCGAGGAGATTGCCACAACCTCTTTCTGCCCCAACTGTATTAGGTTAAAGAAGAAGATCAGAGAGCTTCAGGCTGAGGTGGAGAGGCTAAAGTCCGGAAAGGTTCCTGAGGTTCCACAGTTCCTGCCTCAGAAAATCGAGGTGCCAGAATATTCAGATACCTCAGGTAAGACCAGTCATGGAAAGTGGGACTTATCTACATGAATCTTTTGTTACCACTTAGCAGTGCTTATTGTAGTTAGCTCCACACAGTTTAACGGTAGTCACAATCACCCAATGCACTATTACCTGTATAAAAATGATTGACCTTTTGAAAAGTAGCTTTTAATGTTTTGGTTGGGATGGTTTTATTTTTTTCAGATTGTTAGGGTGGTTTTATTGGAATTTTCTTTTTAGTGGTTTGTTTTTCAGATTTTTTTTTTTCCAAAATAGCATTATCTAGGGTCACATGGTGCATAATAATTCCCAGCATGGTCCTTTCTCTCTTTACTATTTGTCATAATCTCTTTTCTGTTAAATGTCTTTTGTTTAGCTGTTAATGTTGGCCAACTGATTAACATTTCTATTTTTTTGGTTTCAGCCCCAGAGAACATGTCCATTGCTCCCACTATGATGGAGGATGATGAACAGGAAGTGGACTCTGCGGATGAATCGGTTTCGAATGAGATGCTGGCGGTAACTGATGAGCCTTCTAAGATGTCGGTTGCCTCTGGTAGAAGAATTCGCCGGTTCAAGCAAGAGTGGCTCAAAAAGTTCTGGTTTTTGAGGTACTCTTCAACGTTGAACGAGATGTGGTGTCACGTTTGCAGGCAATATACGGTTCAGTCCTCCAGGACTTCAGCCTTTATTATCGGTTCTAAACAGTTTAAGATTCACACTATAAAGCTCCACAGCCAAAGTAACCTCCACAAGAAATGCTTGCAGCTTTATAAGCTCAGGATGCACCCAGAAAAGACTGAGGAGATGTGTCGAAACATGACTCTTCTCTTCAACACTGCATACCACTTGGCTATGGAGGGGAGGCCTTACTATGACTTCCGACCTCTAGCGGAACTACTGAGAAAGTGTGAACTTCGTGTGGTTGACCAGTACATGAATGAAGGTGATTGTCAGATCCTGATACATCACATTGCCAGAGCACTTCGAGAAGATTTAGTAGAGCGTATCCGACAATCTCCTTTTTTAAGCATTATTTTGGATGGGCAAAGCGAAGACCTTCTTGCCGATACTGTAGCAGTCTATGTCCAATACACAAGCAATGATGGACCACCTGCCACAGAGTTTCTCTCTCTTCAGGAGTTGGCCTTGCCTACAACTGAGAGTTATCTCCAAGTAATCGACAGGGCTTTCTCAGCCCTTGGGATCAGACTGCAGGACGAGAGGCCGACTGTTGGGTTGGGCGTCGATGGCTTCAACATAACAGCTGGACTAAGAGCAAATTTGTACATGACAATCAGGAAAACCTTGCCTTGGATACTGTGTTTACCTTTTATGGTGCACAGGCCCCACTTAGAAATCTTGGATGCAATTAGTGGAAAAGAACTTCCATGTCTGGAAGAATTAGAAAACAATCTAAAACAGTTACTTAGCTTCTATCGGTACTCCCCCCGTCTGATGTGTGAGCTTCGACTCACAGCTGCAACCCTTTGTGAGGAGACGGAATTTTTGGGTGACATCCGTGCAGTGAAGTGGATCATAGGTGAGCAAAATGTATTGAACGCTTTGATTAAGGACTACTTAGAAGTAGTAGCCCATTTGAAAGATGTTAGTGGGCAGACGCAAAGGGCAGATGCCTCTGCAATAGCATTGGCCCTCCTTCAGTTCCTCATGGATTATCAGTCAATTAAGCTTATTTACTTCCTGTTGGATGTGATTGCAGTCTTGTCCCGCCTTGCTTATGTCTTCCAAGGAGAATATCTCTTGGTTTCCCAGGTGGATGAAAAAATCGAGGAAGCTATTCAAGAAATTAGCCGACTGACTGATTCACCTGGGGAATACCTTCAAGAGTTTGAAGAAAACTTCCGGGAAAGCTTCAACGGCATCTCCTTGAAAAACCTGCGTGTAGCAGAAGCTAAATTTCAGTCCATCCGTGAGAAGATTTGCCAGAAGACCCAACTCACCCTGGCCCAAAGATTTGATTCCCGTACCCGAATGTTCGTTAAAGCTTGCCAGGTTTTCGATTTGTCTTTTTGGCCCAGGAGCACAGAGGAGCTGATAACATACGGAGAGGAGGACATGCTACAAATTTATGAACACCTGGGTAGCATTCCATCTTTTCTTCCAGATGTTTCCAGGGAAGGAGCCGACGCAAGGGGCAGCTTGCTGATGGAGTGGCGAGAGCTCAAAGCAGACTACTGTACCAAAAACGGTTTCAAGGACTTGATCGGCCACATCTGCAAGTACAAACAGCGGTTTATCCTCTTAAACAAGCTTGTCCAGATCTTGAAAGTCCTTCCTACGTCGACGGCCTGCTGCGAGAAAGGACGCAACGCACTTCAAAGGCTACGCAAAAACAATCGTTCACGGTTGACATTGGATCAGCTGAGCGACCTCTTAACCGTAGCGGTGAACGGGCCGCCCATCACCAATTTCGATGCCAAGAGAGCTTTGGACAGCTGGTTTGAGGAGAAATCGGGCAACAGCTACTCACTATCAGCTGATATGCTTAGTAAGATGTCCTCTCTCGACCAGAAGCCAATGCTTCACCCTATGGAACTTGGATCAGAGTATTACCAAGACATTTAGGATTTGACAAATCTGAATGGGAGTAAGGAGCATGGATTCCTTATAGCCAGAATACGATGAACCCCTCATTCTCCAGACCTCCTCTATCCCACCCCCTAAAGCATGTACAAGTCAACCAGGTACCTTTTTTTTTTTCTTTTTTCATGATCTTTTTAGGCCAGAAAACATGTTTTGGCTCAAAATAAGCAGTGCGGATTTTATTATTTAATCTCTATGTTTTCTAATTTGTATTATCGCTCTTAAATCATTTTATTATGTTCGGAAAAAAAAAATTTATGAAAAATATTAATTTTAAGCTATGATTCACAGAATAAGTTAACTTTTTGTTTTTGTTTCACTGCCTCTCAATCCAGGGTACACTGAGGTGCATTAGGACACGGTTACACGTGCTATTTTCTGTTGTTCTACTTTGCAGTCGATTGTTGTTTATTGCAACTGTGACCACCTATGATACATGTAATGCCTACACCGGACTGCAATATTGGGCAATAAACCACAATTATTGGTGGGTATTTAACACTGTGGTGTAGGTCACACAAACTCTCTTTCTTCCAGTAATAGCAGCTGATGGTGGGCTGTTCCAAAAACAACTGTTGGTAATTTTCTTTCTGTATAGTAGCAGGACAGAAAACCGCGAGTGTAGTTGTGCCCACAGGGTCCAAGGTTGGCTTGCGGCACCCTACGGAGGAAGCCTTGTATTTTTAAATTTGAAGACCCAGGACATACACTGTTAGAGGTTACTCACTATTTTAGCTAAATCACTTTTATTTTCCTGATACCTTATGTTATAGTAATCACACATAATCTTTACTTCTGGTTTTGTTTTTTGTACGTCTATTGACAGATTTTATGTTGCAGAAATGTTTTTGGATACACATGGTTATTTTTTTTTGTCTGTCTTGTTTTGTTATCCGCAAGAGGATCTTCGTGTCTCTCTTGTATTTTATTGCTAAGATAATATAATTTCTGAAAAAGGAATAAGCTAGTCGACGATTGGTGCTTTCTGGTTGGAGAGATTTGAGAATCCAATTCTGTAACCCCCAAATATTAGCACTGTAGATTACCAAAGCAGTTGGATTGTGTTGTATGAACCAAGACGTCTTCTCTTGGTTGACAAGGCCAATGGGATGTCATTCTGTGGAAATCAGTATTCTGGTTCATGTGGAAAAAAAGGGTAAATCCAGCGAACAGGTATAATTAATTCCAATTGCTTCCTCAAAAGTTTTGACCTGAGCACAAGGACCTTGATATTGTCCTTAGGATTCTCCTGGTCTGATATTTCTCAGAGAGAGGTGGAAGGTCATTAAAGCGGAAGTAAACTTACTTTTGGTACTTTTCCACAAATATAAGTTCCCATTGCAGAGTTTTCTTTATTTATTGGCAAATGAAGTAATGCTCTCATGCTCAGGATGCCTTTCTTTTCGGCATCCTTGACTTGCCAGGACCTTCACATAGCTTTGCCGAAATAAAGTCCCATTGTCGGCACTCGATCTCACACCACTAATATTTTCTTCCATAGACTAGCTCTGCTCCTCAACATGTCGGGATCTTCACATAGCTTAGCCAGAATGACATCAGGCTAAAGTCCCGACGTTGGCACTCGATCTCACACCACTAACATTTGCTTCCATGGCTTAGCTCTGTTCCTCGACATGTTGGCACATTCACATAACTTTGACGGAATGACATCAGGCTAAAGTTCCGACATTGTCACTCGAGCTCACACCAATAACAATTGCTTCCATGGCTTAGATCTGTTCCTCGATGTGCCAGGTCCTTCACATAGCTTTGCCAGAATTACATCAGGCTAAAGTCCCCGTGTCGGCGCTCAATATCACTCGACTAACATTTGCTTCCATGGCTTAGCTCTGTTCCTCGACTTGCTTGGAACTTCACATAGCTTCGCCGGAATTAAGTCCCAGCGTCGGCGCTCAATCTCTGGCTACTAACATTTGCTTCCATGGATTAGCTCTGTTCTTCGATATGTCGGGACCTTCACATAGCTTTGCCGGAATTACATCAGGCTAAAGTCCCGGCATCGGCGCTGAATCTCATGCCTCTAAGGCCTTGTTCACACCAAGCGCGGAGCAGGTGCAGAGCAGAGCAGTTACAGACCGGAGCAAAACTGCGTCCAATGTATTCCAATGGTATGTTTAGCTCCGGTTCACATTGCAGCGTTCAGTTCCAGAGCAGGTAAAAAAACTGCAGCAAGCCCTATTTTCCCTGCTCTGGACCTGCTCTGGAACGTATGCAAACGCATCAAAAACGCCTGGAACGCACTGAAAGCCCATTTTAAACTTTTTACCAAATACGCGGCACAACCCACTGCACTGCGTGTGCAGAAACCTTAGCGGATCTGCTCTGCATTTGGTGTGAACAAGACCTAACAGTTGCTTCCATGCCTTAGCTCTGTTCCTCAACATGTCGGGCCTTCTCATAGCTGTGCCAGAATAATGTTCGTCTAAAGTCCCGGCATGGGCACTCAATCCCACGCGACTAACATTTGCCTCCATGGCTTAGCTCTCTTCTTCCATGCTTGCTCAGGTTTCTTGGGTAATGTGACTTGTGGGCGGAAGTATAGATGGAGGAAGAAGGCACTGGGACAAATCCAAAATGGTGCCGACTCCAGGAACAGCAGGGGCAGTTTAGATGGGATGATAGGACATATCTCTGCCCTGTCAATTTAAAGACATTTACTAAAACCAATGGGGTTTGAGCTTTATCTGTTGAAGGAAGGGAGAGTTTACTTCCGCTTTAAAGTGGTGAAACAGGAATATGGCGGTCACTGCCGTTGACTTTCTAATTTCACTCCACCGATCCCTGTTCAGTGGACTTCCCCTTAAAAGTGAATCTTTCAATAAAATGTGAAACTCTAAAAAGAATAAAAGTCTATATATCGGGATGGAAGATCCTACTAGCCAGGTAGTCAATGCGAAACCAAAAATTAAAGCTGGCTCATGTTTTTGAGCTTTTTCTGCTCTTCTTAACTTAAGCACTTGTTCCCTATCTTCTTAAAGCAGCTCTAGCATCCGATTATATTGTTGCATGTTATGTGCAGCATTGTTAAAATGTAACCCTTCCATAAAATGGTTACACCTCAGAGATCACTGTACTTCCCCTTGACAATGCCTTCATTTGCTTCTCCTACCAGAAGGAGGGTGCCATCTTTGTTCAGGCATCATCCATAGTCAGCATCTACTTCCTGGACTGAGATGCCGGCTCAGAGATGACACTATGCAGTTACTGTGATGTTTTAAGTCCTGTATATTTATACTTGTTTGCACAGCTTTGCCTGTTGCTGCTGCTGCCGTCCACTCGCCAGAAAGTCACCATGAACAGTACGAGTGATCATGGGGAGGGATTGTGGAAATGCTTTACTTCTGCTTGTAGCTAACTCAGATGACATTATTTACCTAGAATGCTCTTCCCTGGCAGATTGTGCTTACAGTCACTTGAGTGAAAGTCAATGATCTAGTTTTATTTTATGTTTTCATTTCACATTATATACTGTGGCATGTCAAGAATTTACTAACATGAACTCATAAAGTCATTGACGGGTTCACTTTAAAAGGTTCCCTGATGTCTCCTAGACTCGTCCAACAGGCTCCTGAATCTACGTATCGCTAGGAAGTGATTGGCTGATCAGATGTATTCAGTTTTCAGTAACGGGCCCCGTTCACTAAGCAATAGCAATTGTTCTTTTTTTTTCAAAAAGGACATTCAAGTCTCTTTTTTTTTTTGTAGCTTAAAGCAGAACTCCAGGTATACATATTCTTAACCCTTGCAGTGGGGTTACCCCCGCACTGCAAGGGTTAAGTGCTCGTTTTTTTTTTCTTGGTTCAAAAATAACAAGTTATACTCACCAGAGGCTCCGAGACAGTCAGCTTGGCGTTGCTCCCTCCTGCCTGTCTCCTAACGTCCTATACACCTGTGTATAGAACGTGATGACTCAGGGGACCTGAGTGGAGGGGCAGGGTGGTAGTCTAAGAGCAAGCTGGCTCCGGAAATCAGTTTCCTGTTTTAAGGAAGGTTAGAAAGAGGTTAAGGGGCTCCGGCCTGTCTACTGACCTCATGGGTCATTCCCCTTCTCCGGAAGTTGCAGTGGGTGGTCCTCACTGCGGCACTGATTAGTGCTTGTGCAATAATGTATGGTACCTCAGGGGGGCGGGTCCATGACAGCCTGGACTCAGAGAAAGTGGCCTGAATGTCTCTGGCTGTCATTGGCTCTGGAAGACTGGTGACATCTAGTGGCAGAATGACAAATACTCTAGGAAACGTCTCTGGGTTGAAAGTGAGTATGGCAGTAAAAGCTGTTTTTTTTTTTTTTTGTTGTCTTTAATATCACTGGGCTACTTATGTTAAATGTTATTTTTGCTGGAGTTCAGCATTAAAAGAGAACTATGGGGTGAGTGTTTTCCCCATAGTTCTCTTAAGGGTCACGGGAGGACATATACTAGCGTCCTCCTGTAACCCAAAGCTCAGTGTATCGAAAGCTACAGCTCGCGGTATACTGAGACCGCCGCAGCCGGGACGGATCCCGACATTACTGTCGAGATCCACCCAGCTGCGTGAGTGACATCAGGCTCTGCCTATCTAGAGGCAGAGCCAGCTGTGCCCGCCCCCTCCCCCGTCTGTTCCTCTAGTCAGTGCCGGAGGATGGGAGAAAGGAGGGGGGGAATCCCTGTGGGGAGCCGTGAGTGACAATTACAGCTCTCTGCAGGGAGATGATCGAGAAGTGAGCGAGAGACGGTATGTGTTCACTCACTTCCCGATCTATTAAGCCGACGTGTGACAGTTTCATTGTCACGCATTGGCTCGAACTATGAGGATGAGTGTAAATGACCGGCTCCAAACAGCACTAGCCTTCTGCTGCTTATAAAACGCCTGATCACAGATGGCTCCCGACCAGCACCCACGCTGTACCCAAAGATACACAGTGGTGAGGTCGGGGTGGGATTATCGCTGGGCTAAAAAACTTCTGCTTACTTGATTGTGCATATAATGTGATCTC